TTTTATTTTAAGAAAAAAATTCAATGCTTTCTTTGAGATTTGCACGTGTGGATTTCCCTGCTTGCTGGGCTGCCATTGCAAAAAAGACATGTTTCTTGCTGCAGCTTGACTGACTGGCAATGCTGAGGCGTGAAGAAGGAAACCTTGATAATTTCAATTCCTTTAGCATTCTAACACAAACCATGGCTTTATCCCTTATGAAGAGATCTGGAAACAGATAAAGATTCTTAACACTGAATTAGTAGATGTAGTGCAAATAATCAGGATGTAATAAAAGACAAAATGTCCAAAATCATAGTGATGGCTCTTTTTTCTTTTTTTCCCTTTTCTTTTTGTTGCATAGGGGAGGGAGGAGATGAAAGAAACATTATCTAAGACTCCTTTTGCCATCAACCCCTCTTGAATAAAGAACGACTGGAAGAGCTGCTCTGCAGCAAATGGTGTTAGTTTCTGTGCATCAGCGTGATTTTAGATTCCAAGGCTTATTTGTAGGATTCAGCATTTTTGTAACAGCTACATGCAAAGAGGAAAGCAAGCAAACGAAGTTAAACATTACCCACTTATGCCTGGGCAGAGAGGTTTTTCCCCCAGCTAGAAAAATAAATAAAGCTATATTTAAGTGCCTATATATCAGTATCCCATGTTGAGGACCCCTAGGACTCTTAAGTTTCTGCTGGTCCCATTTCTGTTTTGATAATGGGAAGCCGTCCTGTGAGGAAAATAGCGTAGAGATTCTAAAACTGATTGTCTGTTGAAGGAGAGTTCAGATTCAGTAATTGGCACAAATAAGAAAAAGATGCTTGTAATGTCTCATGCTGCTTGAACATGGTACATGCAGTAGATGAGAACTGAGCCTGTAACAGGTCTAATCCAAGCACTGCAACTGTTTGGAGCTAGGAGGAATTGCTGAAGTTTAAAATAGATAAAAAAGCTTACGTGGGGATCTTAATCCCCTATGTGGGGAACAGAAAGCAGGTGTAATAGCAATCTGTATAATCAGCTAGTGCATATTAAAGAGAAAGACGCAAAGAAGTCATTGCTTCCTGTCCTCAGCCTGTTTCATACCTGTGCCCACGGATATCGTCTCTCTGTTGTTACAACTTCAGAGTCCAGAAAATCACATGCCGGTCCCCGGAGTCCTTAGAAGGCTATTTCCTGTATAGATCAGACCATTAAGGTATGAGGGTTCCTGCTATCCTTCCTCGCTTGCACAACACTGAATCGATGGAAAAACAATTAGAAGATACTGTGTCACTTTTTAGTCTCTGGTTTTTTTCTGTCAAGAAATTCTGCACTGGGAGAAATTTCACAGAGCTGGCCTTCCAAGCTGCAGTTTAAAATTTGTTTTGTTTTGCAGGCTCTTGCTAACCTGAGTTAGGCCATTATGCCAGAATTTAGCCTCCCTCCACCACTAGGCCCTGAATTAGCAGGGCATCCTAGACGATCTGCTGACATCCGCCCTGTTGTTCCTCCAAAACAGGCACAGCACACCCCATGGCACAGCTCCCCTCCCTCTCCAGCTTTTACGGATACTGAGGAGAATTGTGTGAACCATTGGGGGTTAGGGCTCTAGAGCACTTATACTTTCTTGCCTTCCATTGCCTCTGGTTTTGGTGATTTCCCTGGGAGTAACTGTTAATACTTACTTTGTCTGCTTCTTTTAGGCAGTGGTTCAGTAATGCTGAGCTCCAGCAAAAATACCTTTTCCACTGTGCAGCTCCTGTTCCAAACTGTGTTGCCTGAGCACACGCATGGGCCCGCTCTCGCTGTTATGCAAAGGCTGTGCAGTGTGCATTGGATTGCTCATCTGGCTTCATGAAAAATTGGGAGGTGGGGCATGTTTCTTGGGTTTGTCTTGTTCTGAAGTTAGGTTGGTTCATGATCCTGCCCACAGCCCATCGTGACAAGCTGTGACTCAGCTGAACTGTGTGGGAACTCTAGGGGCATGACTGGGGGCTCCTTGAGCTGATCCTGTTTGACACAGCTGCTCTTTCCTCACAGTGGCATAAACCAGTGGTGCTGGAAAACTTATCTGAAACTCTGGGTTTGTTCACAACTACCTCTGCTCTTCTGGAGAATGTCAAGGGAACCTGGTCATAGTCTTATCCAAGCTATTGCAGCAATAGAAGCACAGTCTCTCTTCAGGCTCAGGAAGATGGCAGAACAGCCGTTTATGGTTTTTGCAAGTTTGTTAAATTTAACAATAGGGCTAGAATTTCAGTCTGTGTTTCTAAATGATCACCTAGATTTTGTAGAAATTGGTGCTTTCAACCCTGCCTGGCTTTCGTTTTACAGGTGTCTGCGTCTCTAAGATGTCTTAAAAAGTATAGTTAAGGCTTCTAGTTTTAGACATAAGGAAAAGATTTAATTTATTTTTAAGGCTCAGAAGGAGAAATCCAAAGGTTAACAGTTGGTTGATATATCAGATGTTGCTTGGTATGTGTATCTGCTCTTTATTTTTGCATTTCCTTTTCTCTGCTTCTCCAGGTGTCATCTTGACATGAGTACATTTGAGCTTGGCACTAAGGAGTGTATGAAACTTGCTTGTAGGGGTGGAGAAAAGAAACTGCAGCATCCTTGCGCGTATCAAAATGCCTTGTAAAAAGCTCTTTAGAGAGTGAGAATTCAATTCTGTGAAACGATTTTCATAAGCACTTGGTACAAACATGAAAAACAACATCTCTGCACACTGTGCAAGCACGAGATACACAGGTTATAGTGCAGTTAACATTAGTAAAGAGAATGGTTATGTCTAATTAGTAGCACAGGATAGGTGAGAAGGTTTTTGAAGCATCCTGCTCAGAAGTGGCATTAATCCAGTAATATCCAAGCAGTAAACCCTGTAATGCTTTTGTAAATGGCCTGGTTAGTCCTCAGGGTGTTTGGGCTTTATTGTTTCACGCGTAATTTAATGAACTTTTGAAGAGACCTCTAGGCAACAGCCCAAACTCAGAAGGGCAGAGGGGAAAATGCTGATAGACAGTCCTACTGAGCTAGAACACAGTGGCTGTGAAGGAAAAGCTGCTGAATGAGCTGATGGCTGAAAGAAGTAAAGCAACTGCACTTGGACTCACTAATGGGCTTTTTGTCCAAATTGGAGCCATCTCTTTCTTTAGGAAGTTACTTGTGTTGGAAATCAGGCCATAGCCAGGCTGGAGCAGGAAGGAAGAGGCGGATAGTTAGTGATCTCAAAAGGGTGTGCTCTGGGTGCAGAACAACAGCTGTGGAAGAAGTAGGTTGGCTGTGAGGGCATTGAACTCGGCAAGAAAGCTTCTTCAGCTCCTTGCATCGCTGAAAATCTAGTGTCATGCTGGAGCCTTTGGAGCAGAGCTGAGGGAGCCTACAGGGTGGTCACGGTGGTGAGGCTCGCTGCCTGTTCAGCTAAGGAGCCAGCAACCCTCCTGAGGCTGCTCCTCCCCTCCTGCAACCTCTCTGTGCTTCACAAAAATACAAAAATGGGCACTTGGCAGAGAAGTACTTGTCACCCTTTTCCTGTTCTCAGCCTGGAAAAGAAGAGGAGCCCCTTAACCTTTTGTCCAGTGGTTCTCGAGCACTTCCCCAGCATTTCATAAAGTGTTACAGGCTTTTCCTGCCATGTTACTGTGTCTGCTTTGGGAAGGGGATGTTGAAGCAGCAGTGTAAGCTTTTTTTCCCAGTGATGCAAATTGCCTGTATTGGAGTCAATAAAGAAACCAGAATTTGCCACTTCCTTCCTGTGACCTTTAAATCATGCATTTCCCTGTATTGAGAGGTGCCCAGGACACCATTTGTGCCTTAGCTTGGCAATTGGATGGAAAAGCAATCTCATTTGCCTGGGCTGATTCATAGGTCCCTAATGACAGGTTACATGTTAATACTTGTTTTCAGCAATTGTCAGGCAGTTGTGTTTTGGCTGGGACCTGATAGCAAACACGAGTGAGAGGAGCTTCAGACTAAGGCCTAGTAGTGCAGCAATGATACTTCTTGTTTGCCGGTTTGAAAACAGTTCCCCGACAGTTGTTGTAGTCCTTTTGTGAGGCAATTAAGTCAAAGGTGGTTGCTCTTTGCTTGTTTTTTTATTCTGTTCTAATGCATTTGACAACGCTTTATATATCATCGGTTTTGTTGCTGCTCCGCCATTATGATGATTATTACTATAGGACATAAAGTATCAAACTCGGATCACAGCCATATTGTGTAGGAACTATATGAATGTGCAGTAAAGAGAAAGTCTCTGTCACAAAGTGTTAGTGGTGTCTAGAGAGACAAGGCAGAGAAGAAAAGGCATGATTTGGCAATGTGCCCCTGTTGCACAAAACCTTCAGTTGCAGAGTCTGATACAGAGCAATTCTTCGAGTGGGAAAGGACACATTTCTTGTGTACGAGGTTGCAGGATTGGGAAAGATGAGCTCTGACCTCCCTTCTAGAGATTAGCGGCTTTAAAATAAACTGGCCTTGCATGTGACAGAGAAAGAAGTTCAAGCATCTAGATAGTTAAAGGTCCCTTTCTGACCCTCATGGGGTCAGAAATTTGTGTAGTATTTAAGAAGCACATTCAGATTCAGTGTGAAAGTTCTTACTGTTTTAAATTTCACTGAACTTTAACGATTTGCATTACACCTAAAAGTCTTGTCTCCCAGAGCTGGGGGGCAGGTGGGAGGGTCCTTAGCAGAGGGATTCTCCTCTGTTTCTAAGTACTGCGAACAAGTAGGAAAAAAAATGCTGTCTCCCATCCGGAGGTGGATGAGATGGGTCTGTCTCCATCTCAGATTCCAAATCTCTCCTTACTGTCACTTGAGGTCCTTTCACTTCCAAGAGACCAGTTTTTTCTATATTCCTCAATCTAGGAAGTGGGACAGCCCAGACATGGTGAAAGTCTTGTGATGGATTGGCATCCTTTGGCTGGAGAAAGTGCTAAGAGTAGCCTTTGCCACCATCTTTGAGCTCAAATGCACGTAAGTGCCAATTTAAAGCAGAATTATGCTGGCTCACTGACATTGCTCTCTCCTATTTCTTTACAGCTCCTGTATGACAACCCAAAAGCCCGTCAGGAAGTAGAATATCATTGGCGAGCATCAGGGTGTCCTCACATTGTCCATGTCCTGGATGTTTATGAGAATATACATCATGGAAAGAGATGCCTCCTCATTGTCATGGAATGGTACGGACCAGCAGCATTGCTCTTTGAAGGGGTGGAGGGAGTGGGAGAATGTGTTGGCTTAGATGAGAGTTAGGTGGGCTTTCTCAGCAGCGCGATTTTGGTTTGCACAGCAAACCTTTTGTGGTCTGTATGGAAGCAGTAGGGAAATGTGTAGCTGCTCCAGCCATCTTGTAGGATGGCAGAATGAAGAACCTTAACCAGAAAATAAATTTTCCTTGTACTCTGTGACAATTACCCTCATTAAAGTATTGACTAATTAATACAATCTTGAAAGATATGTCTCTACAAACATGATGCACTTTAATTGCGATTGGCTTCCAACTTCAGATATAAATCCTATGATCTGACGTGATCCTTTTTGCTACTATTTTGACTCTAACTTTTCCTATTCTCTCCTTGATTTGTTATACCACAGTTATTGTCTTCTTCACTGGGGACAAATTAATAATCCTTTTCAGTATCTTTGCTTCCTTCTTTTTTTTTTCTTCATCTCCAACCCTTACATAAAACAAGATTACTGTCAGCCTCCCAGTGCCAGCGTATCTGACTTAACAACTGTGTGTGTCATGTTTCTTGTGACAGGATATGTTAAACTGAAAGCATCAAAACTCCTTGGTCCTGTTTTGTTTTGGGTTTTTTTTTTTCCCATTTGTTCCATATCAGAATGGCTTTGTGCATTGATTCAAATAAGTGTGATGTTTAGGAAACATTGGCGTAGGAGGCCTGTAGTATCTTCTAATCTGTTCCTGCAGTAGTTCTGTGTGATTATATGGATGGACACTCAGGTGTTAATTTGTCCTTTTCTGCTTATGGAAGGTGGGGTTTTTTGTGTTCTTTATTTCAGCATGGAGGGAGGAGAGCTGTTTAGCAGGATCCAGGAGAGAGGAGATCAAGCTTTCACTGAGAGAGGTGAAAAATCCTAAGTTTAACTTTAAAGTTTGTGAAAGGTTGCTTCTCCCTTTTTCTGTCCCCTTGCTTCCCTTACAGGAATTTTTCTTTGAGTTGATTTTTGTTTGTACTTTTTTTTGTTTGGTTTTTATTTTCTATCCAAGTCCGTATGAAATGGTGATTTTTAAATGTTCTGAAAATCAGGAATTACTAGAATTGGCCAAGTTCAGGCACAGCGTGGAAGGTTTAGATGAAAATTCTTTGTACAAATCTGCTTAGCTGCTTCATTTCTGAACCACTGCAGCCTCTGTTACTCTTGTCCCTGGTCTCCTGCCAGACCACCTCTAACATGATCAATGCAGTGCGTACTGTGCTTTCTCTTCTGGCTGTCCCTCAAGCAGCATCACTGTGTAGAGCTATACTGTTAGGTGATGAATATAATGAGCAAATCACATTTGATGAAACATCTCTTATTCAAGGGTTTTAAAAGTACTACTTGAGAGGAAGCGTTATTAGCCACACTGTAAACAAGCCTCCTCTATAATGGGGACTATGTGCAAGTTTAAAGACATGATATGAGTCAGTGACAGAGCTTCCAATAGGATCGTCTTACCATTTTTATTGTCTTCGCTATTTAACATTTGCAGAATACGAAAGGTGTGCTTGACTCCGGTTCTCCTTGCCCATTCACAACAGACAAGAGCTTGTTTCTGCTCAGGAGTGAAAATGTTAGTGCTTGTAATTAGCATTGTGACAAAATGATTAAAAGAAGAAAAATTTACACCTGAGCTTGTAAATTACTGTGACAGTTTTGCAAATCTGGTATAGAGGCCAGGCTTTTTTTGATCCTGTGTTTCCTAGCCTGGGATGAATCCTTTAAGCGTGTTGTGGTTTAATCCCAGCCAGCAACTAGGACCACGTAGCCGCTCGCGCACTCCCCCCAGGGGGGATGGGGGAGAGAATTGGAAGAGTAAAAGTGAGACAAACATCGTGGGTTGAGGTAAAGACGGTTTAATAGGTAGAGCAAAAGCCGCACTTGCAAGCAAAGCAAAAGAAGGAATTCATTCACTGCTTCCCATCGGCAGGCAGGGGTCCAGCCATCTCCAGGAGAGTAGGACTCCATCACACCTAACGGTTACTTGGGAAGACAAATGCCCTCACTCCAACTGTCCCCCCCTTCCTCCCTCCTTCTTCCCCCAGCTTTATATACTGAACATGATGTCACATGGTATGGAATATTCCTTTGGTCAGCTGGGATCAGCTGTCTCAGCTGTGTCTCCTCCCAACTTCTTCACAGAGTCTTCAGAGTTGGAAAGGACCTCTAGAGGTCATCCAGTCCCACTCCCCTGCTAAAGCAGGATTGCCCAGAGCACATCCCTCAGGACTGCATCCAGGGGGGTTTTGAAAAGCTGCAGAGAAGGGGACTCCCCCCCCTCCCTGGGCAGCCTGTGCCACTGCTCTGTCACCCCAACTGTAAAGAAGTTTTTCCATGTATTTGAATGGAACTTCCTCTGTTCCAACTCGTGCCCATTGCCCTTTGTCCTGTCACTGGGAACCACTGAAAAGAGGGTGGCTCCATCCTCCTTCAACCCTCCCTTTAGATACTTGTATGCCATAATAAGGTCTCCCCTCAGCCTTCTCCAGGCTAAAGAGTCCCAGCTCTCTCAGCCTTTCCTCATAAGGGAGATGCTCCAATCCCTCAGTCATCTTAGTTGCCCTTCGCTGGACTTGCTCCAGCAGTTCCCTGTCCCTCTTGAACTGGGGACCCCAAAACTGGACACAGTATTCCAGTTCTGGCCTCACCAGTGCCGAGTAGAGGGGGAGAATGACCTCTCTCGACCTACTGGCCACACTCCCTACTTGTGCACTCCCAGCCTACTGGCTGGTGGGGCAGTGTGAGGAGCAGAAAAGGCCTTGATTGCTTAGCAACAACCACAGCCATTACTGCATTACCAACGCTATTCTCATCCCAAATCCAAAACATAGCACTACATCAGCTGCTAGCAAGAAAGTCAACCCCATCCCAGCAAAAACCTTGACAAAGTGGTATGAGACTCGTATACAGAAAACAAGCATTTTCAGGAACTTTTGTATGTTCCTCTCTAAAATACAAGATTCCAGGAGGCAAACTGTTTCTGAGATCATTAGTGACTCCACTCTGCTAAAAACATGATTTTTGTACATTAAATACCATTGTGTAACATTCTAAATACTTACCCAGAAATCATCTGAGAGCGTTAAACGAAAAAAGCCACCTTCATTCCTTCCTGAGATAAATGAGCCCTATTCCACTGGATTCCCCAGGTTCACTGGCTTTTTATGTATCAGCCACAACTTCCCACTGTGCACAAGGGTTTTTAGCCTGGGCCAGGAAGGAGGAGGTTGTGCAAGGTTTTCCCCAAAGAAGATGAGTGTTTCTGCCTTCTGATTGTCCTTGCCTGAAACTGTGTAATTTCAATCTCAAATCCTGTGAAAAGGGATTCTAGATTACAGTACAAGAATTTCTGCCTTCTCTCTCACTAGTGTCTCTGAGGTTTCTACCTGCGCAGAAAACGGAGGATCAGGTTGAAGTTGCTAATTCTGGTTCCCTGTCAATGGAGGTGTAATATAATGCTCACTTGGTACAATGGGAATGTCACTCCTCCCTCCTCTGAAACCTCTCTCTGTGTAACTGAACTCTTCCAGACTTCAAGAGCACTGCTGTTGCAAGGCAACTCACCAACCACTAGAATTTCTCACTGCAGTTATTTAAAAGTTTAGAAACATATTATTTCAAAGGCAGCAGTTTACGCTTTGCAGAGCAGAACCATTGATTTTGTTTCTCCTGAGGCAAAACTTCTAAAGACAATGATGAATGAAGATGTGACCTATCCTAAAATTACTATATTCTTATGTTGCTCTGTTTTTAGAAAATCTGTTAGATTCTCCTATTACCCTCAACTAAAAGCTGAAAGTTAAACTTCTGTCTTGGACAACCAAGGGCATGTCCTGGACAATCAGAGATATGTCCAGGTTGGGGCTCCTTTCTCCACAGTCTTGCATGTTGCTTGCGTACCTGCTCTGTTCTTGCTGCTTTTCTGGTGAGCAAATTAAAGCATAAATTTACAAGCTCAGAAGAAGCCAGTCTCAACCGTTTAGTTGCAGTGCCTGCTCAGGAGGAGGGCTGAGCAGCTGGGGAATTGGGGGGTATGGTTGCCTGCAAAACCAAAACACAGCTGTTAGGGCTAATTTTAGGTTTTCTAGTCTTGACGCTAGCCCTATATTCCAGCAAGCTGTTTGTAAGTCATAAGCATTCCCAAGCATGTCCCTGAGTTACAGTGGGAATGTTAATGTGACCTTTCTCTAAAATTGTATTTATAGAGGCCTCTGAAATAATGAGAGACATCGGAACAGCCATCCAATATCTGCATTCAATGAACATTGCCCATAGAGACGTCAAGGTGAGGCCTGAAGGTGTGTGGACAGGGGGAAAAGAGCACAAGGCAGAAAAATAAATGGGCAGAGGTGGTTTAAATAGAACTAGGAGTACAATCAGATGGTCAAACTGTTTGTTCCTCTGCCAGAGTGAGAAAGGATCTGTTCACAACTAGTTTGCGACTAGTCAAAGGTCAGAATATTCATGTGTGCTAATGCCTTCAATTTGTGTACGGAATGCAGAAGAACCTGGTGGTAGTCAGATGGTTAGTTAAAGAGGTACTACCAACTTGCCGTCCAGTTAATTAACAAGAAAATAATGCTGCCTGAAGTGAGTTTATACTAGATGCTGTACCTCTGTGTACAGTCTTTGCCAGTTATTAGTTATTTTCAGAATCATACTTGCCTAAAAAAAAAACCCCAAACAAGCAAACGAAAAAAACCAAACACCAAAAGCCCCTTCAGAAGCAGGAGAAACTGCATATATGGGAGGAGTAACACCAATTCCATGCATCCAACCCACTTTAACAGTATATGTAAATATTTGGGAAAATGGGAAGATCTCAGTTACTGCCATATGGAACAGTGTGTTTTATTAGCTAAAGTTTGTACCCAAGTCCTGTTGTAGAGACTTGGTGGGGTTTACAGTATTGTATTTTGTTTTCATTCTGTAAAGTGCACAGCATAAGCAAAGACGAGACAGCTGCACCAAGGCATTCCTAGCACAGCGGTACGGCAGTGTGATGAAATGTGCTGGAGAGCAGGTCCCATACTGATAGACTGAGGCATCTGATTGATTCCGCAGTTCTGAGTTTGTGAGTTTTCTGCAGAAGCTTCTGTGTGTTTAGCCAGAGGGAGAACTGCCATTGCTTGGTGTCGCTGAGGGGTATGTTTGAGGGTTCTTTAGGTAGGAACTGGAGAATGACTTAACAGTACAGAGACGAAAAATTTATTCACTTTTGTGGAGGTATGTGCCATCGTCTGTCACCAGCACAGAAACTGAAGCACTTAGCCCCAAACACCACCTACACACACCTAGTGAACTAACATAGAAATGGTTCAAATTGCTTAGCAGATCCTAAATCCTGTTTTCTTTCAAGGCCTTTCTTCTTCCATATGTCCCTAAACACTAGCATGAGAGAGGGCATAGCTTCCTTATGGCTGAGAAACTGAAAAACAAGGTCAAACAATTGCAGGTTCTGGAGATGTGCTGTTGTCCCTGTTCCTCTGCACAAGAGCTTGTACTGTGCCACTTCTGGTTTTGGAGCACCTTTACAGAGTGTGGAGCAAGAGTGGAATTAACTCCAGTTTCAGGAGACAGAGGATGGGGGGAGCAGGAAGAAGGGGCCTGTGTCTGTATCAGTTAGTTCTGATGGAGTTATGTCAGTTGCTTATAGAGAGTTCGGCTGGTGACTTCTCTTGTCTTCCACCTCAGCTACTTTAGAGCGGTACAGAGTGCTGTCAGGGCAACTGGCGCTGATCAGACAGAACAATCGTAAGTAAGTGCAGTGAACTACAGAGTGGTTCAAGCAGCCAGACTTGACACCCGTTGGACCTGATGAGAGTCTTGTGACTTGCTCTCCTAAATACCATGTTGAGAAGGATGATGATCCTTAGTCTGAGCAAAAATGCTACATGTTGGGAGGGAACTTTCTGCATAGTATGGTGGGGATGTGAGAGAAGTAAGAAGACCCAGATGCTGGTGGTGATCCGGACAAGTGGGAATGGTTTGACCTTTCAGCTCATTAGAGACATCCCTTCATTGTACAGTTTATCCTTTCTCTTGGTGGCCTTTCAGCCTGAGAACTTGCTTTACACGTCTAAAGAGAAGGATACTGTACTCAAACTCACAGACTTCGGCTTTGCCAAAGAAACCACTGTACAAAATGCGCTGCAGACCCCCTGTTACACTCCTTATTATGTGGGTAAGTTATCCAAGATTCATTTCTTCTGTGTTTCAGTCATCCCCGCTTTATAGTGGGGCTGTGGACTGTAGGAATGGGTGGCAAATCTTCTATTGTGGATGTAAACGCAAAGAGGTAGCCTGCAGAATTTAAACTGGGATCCAACCTAAACCTAGTCTGGTTCCAGTACAGTTCAGTGCTCCTGCTTTCTTTCTTGGTTGCAGAGGAAACAGCCTTAACAGGGGATGTAAATGAGGATCAAGGAGAAAGAACATATTGCTTCTGATTACACTTCAAGTAATCCTGATGTTTCCTCTGAATGATGCAATAAAAGCCATAATTTGAACTCAGCTTCGTGATTATTTGGGTGTTTTCTTGCAAAACTTCCCTTAGCTTAACTAACGTAATAAAAGAGAACAGGGAGAGTATTGCCTCAGCTGTAAAGCCTCTTAAAGCTGGCAAATGGAGGAATTAGTAATAAAAGACCAATGTGACTTAATCACAGCTAAATTTTTGCCTGCATTTTGTCCAAAGACAGAGCACTGTGTAATGAACACCACAATAGACTGTCCTTCATGCACTTATTTTAGGGTATGTCCCTTTTGGTCTTTGAGTTAATCGTCATTCACCGTAGGGTATGACTCAGGTAGTCCTCACTGGGAATTTCTTTGGAGGAAAAAGGGCTTATTTTTTTAGAAGACTTAGTTCTCTCCTACAATGTAAGTTTTTATAGGGTTTTCTTGTATTGAAAGATACTGTTATTCATTGTTAGCAGATAATTACGATAGCAGCATTTTTTTCTGATGCTTTCTATTATATTTTTGTAAACTGGGATTAGTAATAAAATGTTAAGGAATTTACGCATATATGTTTTTATGCCTTTGTATTTGTATATAAACAAGCTGACATTTCCTTTCTCAACACCATTTTATAAACCAGTGTGATTGCTCATATGTTTAGAGAATAATCTTCCTTACCAAATCAAGCTCCCTGCCAGTTCACCTGCCCCCTGGGAAAAAAAAAAAAAATCCCCTCTAAATGTATCTTTCTATAATTTTGTTACTTAGTGAAAAAATATAGTGCTCTGGAGGCCGAAGAAAAATACAATGCTCTGTAGTTGCTGGAGCTAAACACACTCCACCTAGGTATCGTTCGAAATTTTATCACGGCTCAAGTAGGTCCTTTCTGTTCTGATTTCTGGAACATATGCTCCTGCCTCTTTCAGTGCCGTGTTTCCCTGTACACATTTAGCTATAGCTCCTTCTGCTTTTCTGTAATCTTAGTACTCTCTTGAGCAGAGAGACACTAAGGTGAAGAGTAGGGAATTTTGCCAGCTCCGTTCCTCCTTTTTAAAGCTACATTAGATGTGTTTAGGAAATTGTCAATAGAAAATACTACCCAGTTCCTGCAGTGAGTTGCATTTCTTTGATGTTTCTGATATTTGTTGTTGAAGCGTGATGCTACTTATAAGGTGATGGAGATGAAAGGAAATGTCTGGTACTCTGTTAATTTCTGGTTTTAATCTTCTTCAGCCCCAGAAGTCCTTGGTCCTGAGAAGTATGACAAATCATGTGACATGTGGTCTTTGGGTGTCATCACATATATTCTGTAAGTATTTAGAAAGAGGCTTGAGGAACAGAAAAAGGACATATCTTGTTAAATCTGCACTTACAAGTTATTAGTCATTAGGATTGTGCAACCTGCAGAAGAATATATGCTTGTATGGGACTTTTTAAGAGATGAAAGGACTTTCATAGTTATAAGAGTTCTTTTGTCCACTGTTACAGCCTGTGTGGGTTCCCTCCATTCTACTCAAACACTGGTCAAGCCATTTCTCCAGGGATGAAGAGAAGAATTCGGATGGGGCAATATGGGTTTCCCAATCCAGAGTGGGCTGAAGTATCAGAGGAAGGTAACAATCCTCACTGCTACTGATGAGTATGTGCGTGGTGGTGTGCAGTGGTGGAGTGCTTACAAGAGACTATTTCTAAAAACCTGTCTTAGGTTTTGTTTCCCTTTTAGGATTTTAATTAATTTTTTGTAAGGTGATACAGAGAACAACTGGGAACTCGGATACTAGCCGGCAACCTAAGTACTACAGAAAGTAAATGACTGATGAAAACTTTCTTTCAAATTCCAGCTAGTGCTAGTGAATGCTGAGATTAAAGCCTCTGGAAACAAAAGTCTTTAATCCTGCAAAAGGAGACTGCCAGGACAGCTGCAATGCAAGCTGAGTTGGAAGAAAGGCAAACTGTCTTAAGAATTCATTCAGTCTTTGCCCTCCTTGGTGGCAGAGCCAGCAAGGATGGCAGGTTTTCACGCTATTTTTTTGTGATGTAGGAACTTGCCAGCCACCACTTAAATCAAGGTCAACAATTTATTTTGTATAAGTCATTGACCAAAAGCTGCTGCTGTTCTGCTGTGACCTGGATGGGCTCAAACCAGCGTCCTGAAAGTGTGTGGTTTTGATTCCCTCTTATTCTGACAGTCTCGTAATCTGAAAGTCTCACCTGCCCATCATGTTAGAGAGAAAGGCCAGCAACCTCTGGGCACATCTTTTTTTCTAACAAGCCCTTTATATTGATTTTGCTAGCATCCTGTTACTGTCTGCTGTTCAGCAATAACAAAGTATTGTTGGATGATACTGTGCTCTGTGCCATTTTAACCCCTCATTGGATCTCATGGCTGCGTGTGCAGCATAGGCTACTGAACATTAATAAGGAGGATGTTTTACTTACAGGTTTCTGACTCAATATTTTGTCTGCCTTGGGCCTTGTTCATATTACAGCATTTACTAAAATGTGTGGGGAGCTTGGTGAGAGAACATGCACTTGGAAAATTTGTAGGGTTTCTGTATGCTTGCCTGAATGAAGATAGGTGCCCTGTACCTTTGAAGCAATTAAAATCAGCGAGTTTACGTGTATTCTTTTAGGCTGATGAGGCACCTTCAGCAGACTGCTTCTTTTTGCTCTCCTTTTTACTGTTCTTGTTATGGTTTTCTTTATCTAATCATTCTGTCATTGCATCATCTGTGGAGGCTTCCTCTAAATTCCTCTCCAGCTTCCTGTAATCATCTTTAAGGGCTCTTGTTTGTTGTCCCCTCCTTTTGTTTCCTTGTATATGTTAGACTCCAGGTAATCTCTACTGTAAAACTCCTTTGCAGCATCTCTAGAGAAACTGAAGTCTAAACTTGCACCTCTAGCAGCTTTTTACAAGCGGTTAGTCATCTTGCATTTGATGTTTCCAAAAGAGAACTCTTATGCAGAAGTTTTTCTAGATTTTCCCAAGGAAGTTATGTGTTAGTCTTTCTAAATAATGTCCTTTGGATGCAGTTTCCAGTCTGTCTGCCCGCATTAATGAAACTCTTGTCTAGACTCTCATCATCTCATATCTCAGTTACTTAGTACTCTTGCTTTGGCAGATACCATGTTCACAGAAACCTGCTGCAAAACCAGTTTGTGCAATCCATTTATTTGACTTTGTTGTCCTTTTAGTGGCCTTTCAGTTGTCAAAGAAAAATTTATTGTCCTTTTTTTTTCCTGCAGGCTGTGCTAATTTTTGCCTTCTGTCATTTTTCAAAACATCAGCTTATGCATTCGTTCAACCTATAATGCCAAGCTTGTCGCCATCTTTCAGACAGGCAGCTTGGCAGCTTTCTGTTCCTATGTTTCCGATATTTTCAAGTTCTTGCTTTCAAAACAGTTGGTTTGGTGATGTAGATAGCATAGCTGGAATCCCTATACTTTATCTATCCTTCTGACCTCTTGGTTTGGATGTTTTCATGTTCTGCCTCTTTAAACATAGTAACCTACTACACTGTACATGGTACATGTACTGTACACATTCTTCACGTGGTAACAGCTATAGGTAGGTGTTTTGAGTTCAGCAAAATTATCTTTCTTCATTCAGCAGGTCTTTGTGTGCTCAAGGTTATTTGGGAACACAGTACTAGACTACAACGTGCCATGTTGGTCCTATTTTTCAGCCAAACAACTGATTCGCCATTTACTGAAGACTGACCCAACAGAGAGGATGACAGTTTCTCAATTTATGAATCACCCTTGGATTAATGTGAGTTTCATATCTCTTTTTACAAGATGAATTCTTACGCGCAGAACTTACATGTAGCTCCACACAGCACAGCAAGAGAAGGTTGAGGATTACTGTTAATAACTTAATTAACCTACAGATGACTCCCCCACAGAGGGTCATCCGCCTGTAGAGCCACAGTTCTTGGTGTTACCAGAGGACACAGAGACACCCACAATAGCATCCTTGGAAGCAAAAGCCAAATGTATCTATATCTTCTGTGAGCAGGCAGTCACTGTTGACTCTGCAGCATATGCATGTGTTACTCTCTTTAAAAATATAAAAATAAACTGTATGTACTTACTTCATCGGTGCAGGATTTAAAGTGAGCTATTATTAGCGGTCTCAGGCACCATTGTGCATAGCTGTGTTAGTGTGAACACAGTTCTGTGCTTAGTGGGAATTCTCATCCTTGGCAGAGTTTGGAAATGCGTGGGGGAGGAGCAAGGGTCTCGGCTTAGTGCCCTGGAAGAGACTGCCAGATAGGGTGGTACACAGAGCTATTAATGGCCCCAGCTCAGGTTTCATTCTATGTCTTGGTTGAATTTACTTTTCCTTTAAAAATATTTTTTGGGGAAAAAAGAAAAAAAAAAGACTCTAATAATACATTATTAATTATTTCAAATGAGAGACAAGAATCCCATGCGTTATCAGGCTGAGGTTCAGGATATCCTCTCTGCTCTGTAGGTGTCACTTAAAATAATAGATTATACTTCTCACATTCGTGCCTAAAAGGACACCAGTCTTGTTCTTACTGCCCAAAAAATCATCAGCCGGGAACAGAATCACTTGTACTGTAGCATGCCCTTTTCTCCCATAGTGCTTTCTCTACCTATGCTGGTACTCAGAGGAAGGGGCAGAAACAGAGGCATGACTAATAGTCAGCGTTTTTATAAGGTCTGAAGATCTGAAAGCCCTTAGAGTCATATAGAAATGTAGCTGTATAACATCCTGATGAGGTAGACAGATGTCTAATTTAGAGTTGTGAAAGCTGAGAAATTAAGGTTACAAAGACTCCGTAGAACTAGAACAGAACCTAGACAATGTTTCTAAGTCTTTTTTAACCAAATAAAAATGTAATCACTGTTCAGAAGAAATACCTCCAGTTTTAAGTGTTTGAAGACCCAAGAAGGAGGTGTTTCAGAAGTCAGCAGGCGATGAATTTCACAGAATGAGTGCCTAATAGCTAAGGAAGCTACCACCTACAGCGACACATGTTACTTGAAATATGCATATAACCAATTAATAAGGAGGAGATTGGAGACAAGGTCTATAGACTCTGCTGCACCAAAGAGCCGTGCTAGAATACCGTTCCTGGAAGAACACTCTAGGAGTTGCAGATTGGCATTTTTTTTCTGCTGGACCTATTGTTCCCATGAGGCAGAGGGAGGGAGAGGGAAAGACCAACATAATGAATGTCTATGTTCTTCCTTTTCCTAAATCCCTAAGTGGGAACGTGTATGGGGAGATGCCTTGCACAAGCAGCGGAGGAGGGTACTTGTCTCTCCTCTCTTTTTGTTGTTTTTTTTTTCTTTTTTTTTTTTATTACATGGATGTGGACTGTGCAAAATTTTTCAGTTTAAGTGGAGCACATAATCCTCTAGTTAGCTTGTAGATAAGATTTATTTAACAAGAAGTAGCTCATAGATAGGAGGGTAACTTCAACACCTGCTCAGGGACACCACTAAAGCAAGTCTGCTGGTTTGCCATTTCCCTCCTCCCAGCTGTACTTGGTAAAACTATACCCTGGCAAGCTAGGGTCCTTTTCTAGAGGATGCGGGAGTCATGAGTTCTGCTTCCACTTCTGTAACTACTGCAGCGGTGCTGTTAATGCAATGGAGTATAAACACCACTTACAATGGAATGCTTCATTTACAATGACATATACAAGGATCTCCTTAGACTTTGTTGACGTGCGGCTGCACCTGGTGTAGGACGCCACAGCAGTAGACAGCAAGTTTGAGTAGAAAGTGTAAGAGAGATAGAATATGAATTTATAGTTTGAGTTACGGACTGGCAAGAAATACTATGATTCTTGCTGAATTTAGCTAGGGAACAGTGCTTCGTGCTTTAGAAATTGTACCTTATTCTAATTTAAAGTATCTGCTGATCTTTCATGGCAGGTGAGCACAGATCTCAATTTTATGTGTAAGAGCATCTCAAGTGATGCACTGTCTTCTGAACTGTGCCTTACTATGAATAATAGTATAATTTCCTCTTTGGGGCACACTCATGATCTGATAAACTGGTAATCTCAGTTAATGTGCATGTACAAGAAAATTTCTCCTACGACAAATCCTAGAAGATAAAGGTCAAATTAACCACTTTAAAACATTGACTGATAAATAGTGAAATGACAGTTAAAGTCTAAAATGTACATGAAAAATTATCTAACACAGGGATATTGGTTGGACTGGAAGGGAGCAGAGTGAAAAACTCAGCACTGATTTCTCTCTCCTTTTGTTCTTTAAAGATATTGTCGTGTGGAGACTATAGTCCTTTTCTACCTCACACAAGAATTAGCTTGTGAAATGATTGAAAACATGAATAATGTGGGCCACTGAAGGACATTAGATAAACTTTTATGCCCTCCGCACGCATAGAAGAGCAAGCAGTCACTTCCCAAACATGATTTTGCAGAACACTTCTTCTGGTATTTTTCTCTTTTCTCAGAGATCAATGGCAGTGCCACCAACTCCTCTTCATACTGCACGGGTCCTGCAAGAGGATAAAGACCACTGGGATGAAGTCAAAGTGAGTCAATGACGGTTCAGATTTTTTGAAGTCAAGTCTGATAAGAGATTAGATGGGCTGGCTTCTCTGCATATGCTTATTTCCTTGGAGGTTATAGCTATTTTGAATGCAACCATGTTAAACAAGGGAAGCATAAACAGTCCTGGTTAGAACAGTAGTGTATATGATAACTGGTTTTTTGTTTTTGGTTTTTTTTTTTTAAATGCTATTTGAGCTTCATCTGGTAGCCAAACACCAACAAAGTACATGTTTATGATCAAAGTTATTAATGGTGCTACTGACTGAGCCACTGTATGCAGCCACAGAGAAGAAGGGACACTGTTGAGTGAGCTTGAAGTTCATTATAGTGAAGTGAAGAATATGATGAAAATGCAGGGGGACGGGGTGGGAGGGTTGAGCTGCATTCTGATTTTCTACTCTGTTCTTGTATTGTATAACAGCGTTAAATAAACTTAGCCTTGTCTTGTTGTGACGTTTTTCAAGGGGAAGATAAAAATATACCTGTCTTTCCCTTAATCTAACCAGGTGCCTCACCTACTGTTTGTACTGATGACAGTTGAATGCTTCCTGCAAAGAGAAACTGTAGGGCAGACTAAAAGTTGTTTGCAAGCTTTATCTCTTTCCTGCTGGCCTTTATCAGGTTGGCATGCTTTTACAATTAATTCTGAATTTTTTGCACTTACAGTGCTTGGCATTTTGATAATTTCATAGTGTATTTTACTGATTACTGATTTTGTTTAAGTTACTGATATATAGTCTCAGCTGTTGAACTCGGTAATGGTAAAATTTCATAGGACCTAGGCAACGGTTGCCTCTCAAGTCAAAGAGATCAAACAGATAGTTTCACTTAGCGTTCTTCATTTCCATGTTTCTGAGAACTTCTCATACTTGTGCTTTGTATAGGTCCCAGAGGTATTCCCTTGTGCCACCGGCATTCCCATAATACTTAATCGTCTTTCCTTTCCTGAACTAAATGCATAGACATTGGTTTACTTGAGCAGATTTTTGCTTAAAGCCTTATTAAAAAGTTTAAAATTTGCCTGCACTTAAACAATTCCAGCTAAGGAAGCGTGTGAATTTGAAGCACATGCTTTTAAACAACTTTGTGTGGGCTCTCTGGTCTCGTTCCTGCTAGCCTAGTTTGGCAACAGAGCAAGGAAAGCAGCGCCCTGACTCTGGTGTTAGAAGCCTGGGCGCAGTAGCTGGTGAAGGGCAGAACCAGCCAGTAAGAAATGCTGGGCATAGGGACACGGTGGAATTTAGGCCAGCGGAGTGTGGTCCTGCGTGCTCACGTATGAAACACTGTGTGAATAGTTCCCCCTGAATGAGTCCCTGAGTAGAACGAAGCCTTTAGTCATAGTGCGGTGCAGCAGAAAGGGCTCAGCTGCTTCTGGCCGTGGTGTAACAGAGGGTCCCTTTTTGTACCTTCATCTCCTGGCAGTAGTGTGGGGTGGCTGTGCGCTCTCTGCCTCGGGGTTTTCAATGAATTGCTTCCTTGGTTTCAGGAGGAGATGACCAGCGCTTTGGCTACCATGAGGGTGGACTATGATCAGGTCAAAATCAAAGACTTGAAAACATCCAACAACCGCCTCCTGAACAAACGCCGTAAGAAGCAGAAGCAGGCAGGCACCTCTTCTGCAGCCCCAGGGTGCAATAACCAGTGAGAAGAGAAGGCAAGGACCTGTGGGTGGAGGGTAAAAATTAAAAGGAACAATTTAAAATCAGTATGATCAACTCAGTCCGTACCACAAAGGCAGTGAGACTGTGAAGAAGCTATCCTGCAAAGAGGGAGCAGCGTGAAAGATTACATTTTTATAACTTGAATCAAGGCTTTGCTTTTAAAGGCTGATGTACATGACATGATGCTGTTGCATATTGCTAGGGAAGGTACAGTAATACCAGAGGTGTTACGGGTTTTTGTTTTGGCTTTAACTGTATCGGATGAGGGGAGAGAACAGGAGGCAGTCTCAGCATACTAATGCACTGAGGCTTTAAGAGCCAGCTACAAGAGTAACTTCTGCTACCGGTTTAAACTTGGGAATAGAAAAATGCTGAGTGTTCTGCTAGGAGTTTTTAGTAGTTCAAACATAAGTACTGAGAAAGGAGAAAAATGTCACTGCTCTTTCTGTGAGTAGCGCAGGTGCAGTTCTATGGCGGATGCATCTGGACAGCATTTCATGTTAGAACTGGTAACAGTCAATATTTCCAAACTTACCTCCTATAATTACAGAATATCACCTAAACAGTAAACAGTTATTCCTGTTACAGAAAAAAGTATCCGTACGTTTCCATTAAAGTCTTCATGTAGTCTCATGTGAAGATTTGAATTTGTCATGCATTCTCATTTAATAACCTGTAAGTTTTCCAAACTGTAATCATTATGTTGCGTCTATGCCACTGTCAGATCCCTCTCTTGTAATGTTTTTAATTTAAATGGTACTTTATGTGAAGAGTTTTAATAAGGATTTAATTAGTTGAAAGTATCCTGCAGAGAATATTGCTGTTCCTCTTGGATCCATGACCTCTAGGGCGTGCGGCTGGACATGCGATTGTATACAAGAGACTGCTCTACAAGAGAGACTTCTGAAATTCAGGAAGAAGTGGGAAATGCATGTTCTCTGAATGGACCCTGGTGTCTGCCAGCATCCCTTCTGGTAATTATCTCCAGACCCAGTGCCTAAGCTATGCTGATCATAGCAAATTTTGGGGTGCTGGAGTTGGTTTGTTTCCTGGGGTCAGGGAGGGGAGAATGCTGCTTTATTTGCAGTGTTTTGTCGGTGTTTCTGGATCCAAAGATTTTCGCCACCTAAGGGAGATTACCTATAAGTATATCCAACCATTGTTATTTTCCTATTCTCATTCTTTTTTTTATGGGATCCTAGCTTTGGTTTGTGAATTTGTTCTACTTTGTGATCAAAATGTTTCCTCTCACTGCATTTTGGGGGGTTTTTTTTGTTTGTTTTTTTTTAGTTGAGGTGAAGCAAATATTTGTGAAAGTATTATCGGAGTCTAGGATGAAAATTATGTGCTTCCAGTGATGCAGGCAAAAACTACTTTGTGGTAGGCACACAGAGTACTGGTGTGTTAATAGGCTCGGAAGAATGTTAAAAGACAAAAAGGAAAACAAGGCTCCAGAGAGGATCTGAATCGTCAAATCTGACGGCCACATAGATCTTGTTACCTCCAACAAAGATCATCTCGAGGCTCTGGACCTTGTCTGGGGAGCACTGTTCCCATCTTCAAAGTGTTGGATGAGACCTCCGTTCTTCTTTGTGACCTCGTCCTAGGGTTTTATAAACTGATTTTAATAAATCGTGTTACAACATTCCTTCTTCCTGTCATCCCTGTTTTTGTTGAGATGTTGCAGAGTTTGCATTGCTTTGCGAGGTACATCTGTATTGAAGGTGATGGGAAAAGGGAGAAGGAAAGTGTTCAATGGTGTCCATATTCAAAGGCTACCCAACTTCGAACGTTTTTTAAGATTACAAGGGTTTATTCTTAAATAACAATCTCTGCAAAGATGTATTTTAAAATTGTTTCATGTTTATCTGATTGTCTCTGATTATAGCATGTCCTGTACATTTTTTTTATCATATTACTCCTATGAATTACGCAAATATTATTCACTACCTGTAAATGATAATATAATGAATGAAGAGTTGGGATGTGTTCAGGGTGCAACAGTTGGGATTAGAGCCAGATACAAGTTTCTGTCCCTTTTATCCAAAATTTTTGAGAGTGCTGTATGTACATCGCTCCTACCTTCCCACCTCTGTGCCCCATCAGGGTGACACATGCTCCCACTATCCCAGTTAATAGGGCAACCTGTGTATAACATGGTGATCTTCTGGCTGCCTTGGGTAGAGGGGTATTGGAACTGTTGCAATCCACGGTTTGGCTTCTGTCTTGCCCAGAGTTTGAGCAGGAGCTCTCAGTTTCTAGCTGGTGCCTTCTTGCGTGTCACTTCAGTCTGGAGCTTCAAGACGTGTACCTGTTCCTGAGTAGTTTTCCGTGGGGAACTGCAGTTCAGAAACCAGGGTGATGAACTGATGCCCTTGGGCGCGGCAGCTTCAACTTTCAGTCCCTGTATAGTAGGACAATACCATCTCACTGAATTTGGACTAATCGTTCTTGCGTTCTACCCTGCAGCGACAACACCCAGGGATACTGTAAAGCCCGGCGGGAACCTGAGGAGGGCCTGAAACTGGCAGACATGGAAGTGTATGCAAGTATTGTACAGCAGCGTTTGTGCTTATCTCACAGAAGAAAGGAGGCGACTCCTCGGGAGCTGGGGAGCAGCTGCCGTGCAATGTGCGGAGCCCCAAACTGCTGTCCGGCTTGTAACGCCGCTGCCTTCTGTACGCCCATGGGAGCAGGGCGTAAGGGCCCTGGCCGCGTTCTAGCCGTGTCTGCGTCAGCCGGAGCTGTGAGAATCTGCCAGACCCCAGGCTCGGGGGCTGTGCTTGTCGTCACCCCTCGCCGGGGGGACAGACCTTCCCCCGGCGGCGTCGGTGCGTCTCTGCGGGCACACGGGTACGGCTCTGCGGGCGCCGGCGGCGCAGCCCGCCCGCCCCGGCCCCGCCGCGCCACCTGCTGCCCGCCGCGCCGCCCTGCACCGCCGCCGGGCACCTCCGCATCCCCTGCACCGCCGAGGTCTCCGGCCTTGCCCCCGAGCTCCCGCGGCTCCGGTAGCTGGCATCGATTCAGACTAAAACCTACGGGCTCTCGGGGTCTGTCGCGTTAGCGTTCTTGCCCAAGGCTGCGGGGAGCACTGCCTGTTGCTAGCACGTGCGCTCTGCCCCGCAGGAGCCTGTGATGAGATTCATGTGTACGTTTTGCAGAAGATCTTTCCTTTCTGGCTGCTAGCGCTCTGTTAGATGAAGGGCCCGCCTTCTAGCCGCATTCACACACTTTATAAAGAGCTTTGGTGTGCTAGTGGTGGTATTTCGGTCTTGCCTCTTCCCCCAGCCATATAGTATAATAGTCTCTTTAGAACCTGCTGCTTCGGATCCAAATTTATAGCCTGTTTTTAGAAAGGATAGGCTATTATAGAACTGATTATGCATTTGCATATTCATCAGCCATATAGAGGAGGTAAAGAGCTGGGAAGGGAAAGAAGAAATGAATGGTCAATAGAGAAGGCTTCAAGGAGAACACAGATTAAAAGGTCTATTTATTTTTTTACAGCAGAAGCTAAAAAAGGACTGTGCACAATTCCCCACCCCCATTCCTTTTCATAGCAATTGCTTATGGGCCGCTGCCTCCCCTTGTATTTCTCTGCACTGTACTCCTCATACACATGCGTTCTTGCTCGCTCACTCGCAAGTGCACTTTCTCTGATTCTCACACAAGTATGTACACAAGCACAGATAAAATTCCCTCCCTCCCTTTTCCATTTCTTGCACTACACACTTCCTTACCTCTTTGACCATATGTGCCATATGACGAACCTTTTTTTGACATGGTACAATTAAAAACTAACATTAATGGGAAGCTCTTGGCCTAGTTCTGTGTTTTTCTATTTGTCAAAACCCAGCATGCAGTCCTGGGATTGCTTTTCTCTCTTAACACTTCACTGCCTAGAGTCTAGAGGCCCAATTATGTAACTGCTTCTGACTTGCCTGACATGAGGGATAATGAGAATGCTACATACTCAGTTTGATCTAATTTCCCGTCCTCTTTTCAATTCAGACTTTATTTGGCCCATGTTTAGACAAAGGCGCTTTTGAGAAAAGGAAGATTTAGTGAGGAGGGGAGAACTAAAGCTTTTAATTACTTGCACGTAATCGTAAGTACATGTTTTAAACCTGTGTTAAAGGTAGGGAAGAGGTGTCGGTCTGTGTCCAGCTGCTTTAATATATTTGCATGCTCAGCCTAAGGATGAAGCCAGCCATGGGAGCCAGCTCAGCTGTACTTAATGGGAAGAAAACTTGTCCTTGAGGATGCACCCCAGCTCATTCACCAGTACCCTTTCACACTCACTAACAAACCACGGGAACAAAGGGAGTGAAGGCAAGCAGGGAATGAATTTACATGTGGGAGAACTCCATTCTTCCAGTAGTACGTGTTTCGGAGAGTTTTTTTATAGCAATACCGGAATTCTCTTCTTCCTAGGTCTCGGTATTTCCCCTCTTCACCTGGCTGCTCTCCGTACTGGAGCTGGCGTAGCTGAGAATGAACATAGTTAATTCCCTTTTAGAGAGCCTAAACAGGATGAAGACAGTAAACCTGCAAGACAGAGAACACGTACTCAAAACCTCAAAGAAAAAAAAGTGGTGTTAAAAATTCTTGCAAGCTACCAAGCAAGTTTACTTCAGGTACATACTTAAATGCATCTCACATCTGGAAAATTGAGGCTAGAGCAATCCTAGGTAATAACATTTGCTGAAGGAATGTTTCCCTGAAATCTTTGCACCAGGTAAGAAAATGCTTTTTGAGTACTAAGTACAGCTTCAAAATAGGATTTTTTTTTTCAGTCTGTGTGGTTAGAAGAATTTAATGGGGCAAAGAGAGTAGAAACAGGGGATGATATGTCATGTCGAAGAATAAGATAAGAAATGTTTGCTGTTGTATTCTACTCCAACTTATTTTTTTACTGCAGGTGCTACCTCTGTACAGATGGAGCAGGATAGATTCAACTTTTTAGTAGTCTTTTTTTACCACCGGAGGAGGAGGATGTTCCTGCACTCTAGGAAAATGTGGAAGATAACCCTGTGACTGTAGATGAACACCTGTATTGGTAAATCTGTAGATGATGCCTAGCATTAACTTTATTTCAAAATTTCCTGCCTCATGAATCTACTGGGTGCCGAGACCTCATAGGTCTGCTCTAACTGCATAAAGGCACAGAGGCATCATTGTCAGTGGGTTTCCTCATACTACTTG